AAATCATTATATATATTGAAGCAAACTCATCAATAGTAAAATAAAAGTTTGATAATTTCATGAAATCAAAAGAACTTCTACAAGATGTGTAGTTTTATATACATAAAAAATATAAATAATCAGACTTTTAATATCATTTTCCTGTAATTCATAATATCCATTATTAGTTATAGTTCTAGTGCTCTTGGCACTAGCTAGGGGTTGGCCTTTGGGGTCTTTTCCCTTGTTTGTGGCTGTCGCTTGTATTGTGTTTTTCAGCCTTTTGACCCTTTGGGTCCCCTGGGCTTTACCATTTACGTGTAATGTATTTAAATAATATGTTTATGTTGGGAAAGTATCAATCACATGTATAGAAGAGTTTATTGAAATCTGCAATCAAAATGAAAGATTTTGATAAGTTTAATAGTGATGGATATTTATAGAGATTTGGAAAATAAAAGAATATGGTTAAATGAAGGAAAACCCATTAATTATGTGTTTGACAAGTTTAATATGATAGACTGTGAAGTAATTTTGGATTCTTTTGTCATCAAATTTCAAGCTTTTTGCAATTTATTGTCCAATCGATCCCATCGAAAAGTAAAAAAATCTCTAGTGATCCCAATACCTTGAAGTTGTTGGAGGTTAAATATTGTTTTTGCATTGCTTTTGGTTAGATGGAAGAAGTTTGCAAACAAAATCCAACCACTTGTACAAGGACAATAGATTATAACTCATATATTAAACATTGAAATTCATATGCATAACTAGAATCCAACTCAAACTTTAAAGTCCGCAGTAATTAAATCAGACAATTAGCACAATTAACAATATAGACGTTGTCTATATTCCTGTTGCTTGAAAGAATCTCTTCAGAACACAGTTCTTGTCTTTATCATTGGGCTCCAAGTGTATCCAAAAGAGCATCATTCACACTATTGTTGGTGACATATTGTTCCACCTTACAGACTATTACTATAACGAAATAATGTGAAAGATACTTCTTTTGGCAGCGAAGACTAGGCTAACTTTGTAATACGCATACATGTGGAAGCTGCAACTGAAAAAATCAGAAGTATTACTAAAATCCAAACTCACAATAACTGCCTCCAATCGCTCCTCAAGCTTGGTACTTGTTTGTTGTTAACCAAAATGAATACTAATATACATTTTTACATCTCTATGGTCTTCTCATTATGGAAAATAAATGCCGATCATTTTGGGAAGTTTCGTAACTTTACCATCAACCTAATGTCAACTTAGACATGGTTCTGTTGCGGGCTTCAAATCGATACATTTTCTTGTTAAAGCAATTTACTCTTATTAATAATCGAAGATGCTAAACCTACTAAGTTGTTGAATAGGGCCTAGCCCCATCCTAACCCTTCAGTTTCATCTACGTTCGACTTGGTCTTTGCATGATATTCGCTATAATTTTTGGTTTAGCTCGTAATGACAGTTTAGAGCATGTTAATGAAAAATCAGTGGAGGCAGTGAAGACTGCAGAACACTTGTAGGCTTGCATGAAGTGGATGAATATCATGTCGACCTGTCCCAAGCAAAAACTAGACAACAGTTGGCTAATCGTCTGCCATGCAGAGAATTATCCATGCGGACTACATTCGATCGACAAGAAAATTCAGTAGAGTGAGTATTGAAGACGAGATGATTAAAACGATGGTCTGTTTGAAAGACTTCCAAAGGAATAATGTGGGCCGGTAGAATCAGAAGACTATTCTTTGGAGGAGTTTTGGAGAAAGTTCGCAGTGGCCGTCTTGCTTCTATGAGGACCGTCCACAGCCTTCGGTACACTTGCTTTTAGTCGTCGAAGTTGGAGGGAAAGGGATTTGCCTTCACATTACCGCGAAGCTCATGAATCGATCTGGCATGGCATCAGCACAGAACATTCGTCGAGCTCGGACACCGGTCGTTCGTTCATAACTTCCCTGCTACGGCTGGTCTCGGAGTGTGTAGCTTGCGGGGGGGGGGCCACTTTTCAGGACCTAGAGCTCGAATCGCAGGAAGTCTCCAGACACGAATCGGCGGTACTGTAATTTCCACCACTTTCCTGGTGCACGAGAACCGATCGCGAGTACCGTAATGCTTGTGCGCCCGACCAATTCCTGCCCATAGACCCCACTGCGCTGCGCTGCGCAGGGCGACCGAAGAAACCACCACCACCACCCCCCCTACACTTGGGCTCTCTTTCGCTGGTCAATGCGGGCGGTTGAGAGGAGCACAAGCCTGCAGCTCAGCTCAGATCCGACGCTTTACCATTTGTCAACGTGAATTGTCAAGGTCGTCAGGCTGGTAATTGTTATTCCCCCTGCCTGGCGTTTACCGGGCCCAGATGGCCTCGAGCATCGGTCGCGCTGCTCTGGACCCAAGGCAGGGAGGGCGCTTAGCGCAAGGACACGAGCACGTTCGCCTGAGCTTGAAACCAGGTCTTGGGCGCATCATCCAACGCCCTAGACCCACCTCCAGACCCAAGAGCGGTGACGTCGAGTCGGGTTTCTTCGTCGATCAGTGAATCTGGCTGCCAATGATTGCGCTCGCCGTGAGCTCGAGGAAGAAACTGAAAGAAGAACAATCCATCGACTCGAGGGAGGGAGAAGAAGAAGAAGAAGTCCGATTCTTCTCGCACTGCCCGCTCAACGACCCGAATTGTGTTGCTCGAATTGGATCCCATCGAGCAAACCGGTTCCGCGAACAGAACAGTTTCATCGCTCGATGAAGGTGTGGGTCCACCGACGGACCGGAGAGAGGGCAGGCTAAAGCGAGCTGCCCGAAGGGCGCAAGGAACAGATGCCAAGATTCCATGCGGATAGTGTCCGAAACTGCTTCACCCCAAACTGACCAGACGAGCGGCGCTTCTGTCGAACATGGCACTGTCGGAGCATCCCCCGATCGCTCGGGGTACCTGAAGCTTATCTGGATAGAATTTACAGAATGCTAGCTGTAAATGTAGCGGATTCAGCCAAAATCCTCGCGACCAGCAATCCACTCCCTCACTCTTACGCGGTAAGGCAACAGCGAGCAAGTGGTAGAGTGGCGGAGGCACTGAAAAAGCCCCCGCCACGTCGTCGTCATCGTCATCGCCGTCGGCCTGTGCTGCCTCGGCGGGGGTAGATATTCTGATGAATCACTCCCAGTTCCCCATTATCTCCTTCGAGACCGTGCTAATCTGCTCCTAATACTTCTCGTCCCGTCTCAGATGAAGATCGCGAAGCAGGGCACCTGGACCTGCGAGGGCAGGGCAGGGCAGGGCAGGGCAGGCTCATAAATTGCCCTCCTATCCGGGTGGATTTGGCTCAGAGGCGACGACGAGCTTGCGGCCTAATTCGGGCTCATCGGAGCTCCGGAGACGAATCCAGCTCGCTTTCCTACGCGAGCCGCCTGGTCACTCGCCATGAACGGGAGAAACCCACTCCTCGCCGCCATGAGGTCGCAGGTCGACGGTCGTCGTGTACCCGGACCGGAATCAGGATATGCACACACGAGCAGGCGATCGTGGAGGTGGGCAGATTGCCTACGTCTTTTACCAGATCAAAACCCCGGAATATTCATAACTCTCAAACCCGGGAATATCTTATTTCTCACTCCCTCACCAGCACCAGCATCAGCAGAGAAACAGCGCCATGGACACTTGTACCGTGGCTTGCCTTGTGCTGCTCGTTAGAATGTGGGGTCGCACCTGCCGAGCACTGGCTGCGATTCTGACAGCATGAGTCACACTCAAGCGCGAGCGCTTAATTAGTAAACCAACCAGCTCGGGCATGGGTCTGACTGCGAAAGCAAGCTGTGACTTACCGACGACAATGGAAGGCAGCACGTCCACTTCCGTATTGCCACTGCCATGCCACTCCTCGCTCGCTCGCTCTCTCTCTCTCGATCTCTAGACCATACGCCAACGAAAGCCCGATATACAATCCGCTGACTCGACATCGAGCGAGTGACAGCACGGAGTCCGGTCCGAGTCACCCTCTGTCTGTCTGTCTGAGCTGGTCTGCTCCGGTGGGCTTCTGCGACCGTCCTCTCGCACCATGAACACCGAACTCATACGGAACGCGGACGAAAGGCGCAGGCCGAGAAGGTGCCCGGGCCCCGCGGGGGCCACATCTATGGGTGTGTACGTAGAATTTCGCTATTATACCAATGTATTATACAGACCTCCCAAACCATACCTTGTATAATAAAAAGCCTGTACTTGAGTCCCTACAAGGGGCTCAATTTGTGCGTACTCCTAGGGACTCCCTAGGAGTACGCACAAGTGTTGCTCGATTGTTACAAGTGTAAAATTTCATTTTTTTAATAGACTCTACTCGAAATAAGAAACCAGAAGAAGCTATCTGGGATCAGTTAAAAGCTTGATAATGGATATGAAACTGAACTTGAAGAAATATCCCGTTTACGAGGACGCTGGTGAGGTAGCCGTTATATATTTGATGGCTTTGACATTTCTGAGATAGTCCACGACATAAAAAGTATATCTTCCAGGCCAAGGAGACGATGGACGAGGGTAACGTCTACGAATGATAACATAAAGGTTTAGGGTAACATGTTAGGTGAACCTCTAAGTGTTGTATAATAAATTTGACATTATACGGTATTATACTACACAGTATAGGTGTACGAAGAATCCAATTACAGTATAGAGACGCATACGGGGCCGGAGTCGGAGTTGGAGTCGGGCGGGACTGCCCCGCAGGAGGATTTGGCGGGGGACGGGGAGAGGGGTGAGCGGGATTCGGCGAGCGAATGTCTGAATTTGGCCAATGGCGTGGGGCCCTGTAGGCGGAGGCGCAGCCGATCGGGCGAGCGCGAGCGGGACGTGGCGCGGGCAGGCCATGCAGAGGTCGCCACGTAAAACGCGGGCGGAGGGCTGGGCAGACAGCCGAGCCGGAATGGCAAAAGGACATGCGAAGGTGCAGGCCGCAGGGTCGCAGCCAGACGAGCTGCTCGGTCGCGCGGCCCTGCCACATCGGAGCCCGTGGCCCCGCTCGCTGGCGCAGGTTGACTGCTCGCGCACATTTCAGCTAGACCGAATTTTGTGCACCTGCCCCGACTGGCTCCGGAGCTCATACTTAAGGAGGCACCCGCAGGTCCTACAATCGCTGGAGATCTATCCTTCCTTCCCATCTATATATCTAAAATTGGCTGCACATCCCTCAGCTCCCTCTGTTCACGTTCGGATCGGGGCCTGCGAATTTCGTTTAAAAGTCGTGCTCTTGCTCTGGAGTCCGGAGATTGAATCGAACCTGGTCTCGAATTCTTTCTTGTGTTCTCGAGCTGCGAGAACGAGAGAGAGAGAGAGAGAGAGAGAGAGATCGAGAGATACGAGCGCCGGTGATCGTCCGAGGAGCACACTGAACGAGGCTCAGAGCAGCGCAATGGCCCCTTACACGCCCGGAGACAATGGGGGCCATGTAGATATGAAAGTTGGCTACAGCGTCGACGACGGCCGCGATGCCACCGAGCTCGACGAGCGTCTGCCGCTGCTGCAGTACGCCGATCTTCAGGACAAGGTCGTCTTGCTGCGAGTCGACCACAACGTCGTGAAAAAAGGTACTTTGTCTCTCCCCTCGTCGTCGTCGGTCATCGGTCGACAGCAGTTCGGAGTCTCGTCTCGTCTCGTCTCGTATGAACATCCTCCGGCCACTCGCACCAATTCTGCTCTGCTCTGCTCTGATTTCGGAATTCGAACCAATTGCTTTCTCCAATTCGCTCGCCTCGTTCTCGGACATTCTTCATCGATCATCTCACGCATATTCACATTCATCCAGTCGACGCCAGTGATTGCAGAAGCGTCCACTGAGATTATCAAATGCAGCTGATTGAATTCCCGTTCCCGTGCTGTCGCTCTGTCTGTAACTTCTTCTAGGCTCACGCTTGAACGTAATTGGTTTCAGGAAAAATTCTGGATCAGTACCGCGTGGACGTCACTTTGGCAACCATGTACAACATTGTCGAGCGTGGCGGAAGGTGAGAATCTTTCTGATACGACGGCAAGCACTGCATGGCAATTCGTCCTCTGTAGTCGAAGCCGTCCGCCCCTGTCAGCGTGGCGAAGAAGTTTACCGACGGGCAGTCGCTTGCTTGTGGGAAACGCGTTGGATGTTTGATGTGTGATGGTGGCCGAGCTGACTCCGATTGTGTGGCTTGTGGACAGGCCGATCATCATGACTCACATCGGGCGACCATTCGACAAGAAGACGAAGACCATTTCGATGAAGAACGACGAGTCCGTGGATTCTGTCGTGGCCTACCTCCAGCGGAAGCTGCGTATCAAGTTCGCCGTGCCGCAGTTCCATGCGCATGGCAGCGAAGGCATCGACGACATCGACACGTCGATCAACTGGCTCATCCACGACTTGCGCTCGCGCAAAATCGGTGGCATCTACCTGCCCAACACTCGATGGTTTGCGGTAAAGTTTTCTTTGCACCCTTTGCTGCTGGAAATTGATGGCGGCCTGACTGTAATATAACGAGCAGCTCGAATTGGACAGAGTGCTCAAGTTTGTGATATTGCTCGTGCAGGGTGAGGAGGACAAGGGCGAGAAGATGGAAAGATTTGTCGTTCAGCTCGCCGGGTTGGCTGATGTTTACGTCAACGATGCTTTCGGCTCGTGGCAGTCGCATGCTTCGACGTACCATATCACGAAATACTTGCCATCCTATCTGGGACTCTGCATGCAGGTTCGGCTTGCTGCTGATCAGGGCAGACCCGCACTCGCGTTGGTCATTCATCCATTTTGAGCTTTCCCGTCGGGGAATTCGGTCGATGCATGTCTGATACTCGAGCATTCTGCGCAGGATGAGTTGATGCACGTGAAGGAAGTGTTGAACCCGAAGAAGCCTTTCGTGGCCATCGTTGCCGGTTCCAAGTACGACACGAAGATTGGACCTTTGACGGCCATGTACGAGCGCGTGGACAAGATCATCCTCGGTGGTGTCATGTACAACACTTACCTTTGCGCCAAGTATGGCGTCAAGATTGCCGGTGTGGAGGTAATTCTCAAAGCACATGATCGCTTGCTTGAGTTGCTGGTTGTGGTGCCTGGACCCATACATAAGACGTCAATACATGCAACGGTGATGGTTTTGAGGATATCATGCGAACGAGATTGACCTTCCTGTTGTGTGTGTGTATCAGGATTCTGACATTGAGCTTGCAAAGGAACTCGTGGAAAAGGATAAGAATGACAAGAAAGTTCTGGAGTTGCCACACATCGTCGAGACTGACACTCTAGAGGGTCGTATCGAGGGCAAATATCGAACCATCTACACGAAGGTTTGTGACATGAGTCCATGCTAATCTCCGCCGCATTCTACTTGTTTCTGTAGCCCAATTCTGTACTCGCTGTCTCTACAGATTTAATTCTGCTTCTATCTTAACGATATACTTGATGACTCTGTAATTGGTTTCCCTCTGTTTGGCAAACAATGATTTACACATTTTGAACCTGTCAAGTTAGCACGAATGGCGGTAGCTATATTGGAGTCTGTCTCATTTATTCAACTATTCTTTCATCTTTCATAAATGGGAATACATTTTTGCCACTCACCTGCACATCTCAATCGGCTTGAGATCCTTCACTGTATACAGATTCCACATCGTAGCCCCACAAATTACTGCTTGAAAAGTTATCTGTCAATATGCTTATGAGAAAGTCTAGTATTCTGTCTAGCATGGTAAGTCAGCAGTAGAAGGTGGGAGTAATTGAAGAGGCTTCATTTGTGACAGGATTTCAAAGCTGGAGACTCCTACAAGTATGTGGTGGACGTCGATCCAAGTTCATTCGAAGTTCCAGAAGTCTTGGAATCACTTCAAGGAGCGAAGACCATCTTCGTCAATGCAGTGATGGGACTCATGCCCCACTTCAAGCATGGAACTAGTAAAATGGATGAAGTCATCGACTCGAACAAAACTGCTCAGAAGTTCTTTGGTGGTGGTGACACTCTTCAGGAATTCAAAAGGTATGGATTGGCTGTCATTGCGGAAATTATTTCTGAACGCTCTGATTGCTATTTCTGCAAAATCTCAGTAGTTTGTATGGCGAAGAATTGAATCACGGCGGATGAATGTTTGCAGTTTGCACCCCGGTCTCTACCATGCAGCACTGGATAGTGCCAAGTACTACCTTTTCACCGGAGGAGGTACTGTTCTGAAGGTTTTGGAAGAGGGCGATCCCTTCAAGCTGGAAAACGTCAAAGCCCTCATGCAAAACGCCGAAACGTTTGGCTATAAGCCCACAAACGGTAATGGCAATGGCTATGCTACTAATGGTCGTCACTCGCCCATTCTTCGTTGATTCATTGTAGTCAATTTTCATTCATCACAGTCACACTGTGTATGCCAGGCAGTTCATCACTTAGGCAATTCTCATCATTGAATGTTCATCTGAGCACTTCGGATGAACTGTGCATAATTTTTCTTGTCTTTTCAAAACATTTAGAAAGTCCCACTTCGGAAAGGAGAAGCTGCGAATATTCATGCTTTCTTCAGCTTAGTTCTCTTTCTGCTCCCATTCATCACACAAAAGTTAAATCAATAGGGGGAAGATATCTATACTAGATGCACTGATTGCATCACCAATTATTACGATTTATCTCCAAGGTTTCGATTGAACCTTGTACAAATGAGAAACGGAATGTAAACCTTGTTCGGATATCAACTTCGTCTACTTTTCTTCACCATCTGCCAATCTTCGAACTTCTTTCTGACTTTACTCCGAGCTCACTCCACCACCGTCACGATGACTACCGTCTCACGCTGCACTAAGGTCTCCTGCAAGCGAGTCCTGTCGATTTCAAATTGTGACTAGGAAGTCGATGCTGGCTGAAATTATTTTGATTCGTGAACTCTCTCACTTATCTGGTTTGAACCATACACCCTTCACTCGGAGGTGTATTCTAAGTGAAGGGTATGGTGGTTGATGATTCAATACGTGAACCCTCTCACTTATTTGGTCCGAGCCACACACCCTTCACTCGGAGGTTGTATTCTCTGTGAAGGGTATGGCGGTTGATGATTCAATTCGTGAACTCCTCACTTGGCTGGTTTGGACCACACAACCTTCACTCGGAGGTTGTATTCTTGGTGAAGGGAATGGCCGTTGAGGCTAGAGTCCTGAAGTGCATGGAGTCTAGCAAAGATGTAAAGAGCAGGAAGTTTGGCTTATGAATCGGTATGCATAGGAGTAAACTATTAGAAGTAACTGTCGTTGGAGACAGCTCTTCAGTTGAGTCGGTGTTGCTAGTCTGGTAAGATAGTCTAATTAGCTTTGAATGAATTGGCTTATTTTAGTCTAAAAATGTAATGGAAGTTGTTCGTTGGCTTGAATGTTGATGTGATGTATTAAGGTTTGAGGAAGATTGGATACTGTTTGGAAATATATTGTAGTTTCGGTTGACGGATATGACAATCAAACTTGTGCGAGAACATATCTGCTGAATGTATATCTATGAGTAGTGGAAACGAGTAATATAGCAGAAAAAAATTGAATGACCTTGTATCATTGTGAAAATGTTTTTCTTTTTTCTTGTTCTGCCCTACATGAACATGCTTTGCTCTTACTAATCTTCCTTACTATCAAGGTCTGAGAGCATGTGATGCACTTCGATAATAGTTGGTGTTTTGCAGTCAATTGCAGCACTTTTGAGTATCTTGCGTGTATGGTGTGTGAGAAAAGGTAGAGTTTCGAGTGCAGATACTGTGTCGTGTAAGAAAGAGAGATTATGAGTGATCCTGGGTAGAACGAGGTTAGTGAAGTATACGAAATAGTAAGTGATTAATCACACAATAGGCGGGTTGTATGGGTGAAATGAACAATCAGGAAAAGACGTGACTAATATTGATGGCAGTTACCATCTTAAAATTGGGAATATTTGATTTTACAAATAGTCAACTGAAGCTGGCTGGAAGGTTGCACACACCTCACTCGTGGTTGTTTTGAATTTGTTAGTGAAAAGCATGTTTGGACATTCTTTGCTCTGTGTATGTGCTCTCTTTCTATCCAATTTAATTTCTCTGGTCTGTTAGCTCGGTGCAATCCAAGAATGTGTACCAGAACAGCATCGAATATTGTGATTAGTCAGAATTGCTTCATTGTTATGAATATCTATGCATTTTGTTCGCGGTAATGTATGCTTTTGGTTTAGAATGAAGTATGGTTATGATATTGGAGTAAATTGAGGTTCAGATTGTACATGACAAAATGGGATTAGAGATATAAGCCCTTCTTGTCATTCTTGTATATTATTGTGATATTCAATATCTGAAGAAAAGTGTAAAACGCGATTTCATTTGTATGTGACGCAGTCTTTATGACAAGGTAGATAGATGCAAGATACTGCTTATTGTCTCTATTATGATTTATTCACATGATATCGTTCTTAAACATCTGACGTTTCCAAAGAGTCTGAATGGTGACTTTTCCAGAGACATCAGAATGAAAGATCGATTGGTCGGACTGACGGTTAAATTTCCCTGTGATTTATCGGCAGGTTTGTTAGTACTCTTCTGACTTTGTATAATTGTGTGGTATGTTGACATGAACAAGCGAATGGTAATCGCCAGTTTCAGTCTCTGAAATAAATTGATGTAGAAGAAAATTTCTGAATGGTACTATATTCATGTCCTTTTAACTAACTCATCATTGTAGAATTGTAAAACTAATGGTGTGGAATATTGCAGTTCTAACATCTGAGAGAAAAGGCAAAATTGGACCTTCAACATGAAACCGTATCTGACAGTGGTGGTGTGTAAAATTAAAAAAGTTCGCAATGCATGTTTTATGCTTGGAAAATAATTCTTCTAACACAGAGTCCAAGCTCTGAAAGTTCTTCCACCTTCAGCTAGGTGGAATGAGGTCTTCACTGGTCAACAAGGTGAGACCTCTAATTCTGAACTCGCACCTACAGAAAACAGGGATGATTGATAACGAAGTATACAGCTTTCACAGCTGAATATTTTGCCATGACATGAATCTTCAAGTGATGTTTGGAAGTAATTGACATGTGTTCTGTATCTGTATTCATGCAACCTCATTTGACTGTTATCAAGTTTCATTCACGTGTGCTGATTACATGTTATGTTTTGTGGTAACAGAAAAATGGTGAACAAGTTGTGAGCCTAGATTGAGAGCAGCATGAAAGTATGATCTCAAGTTGACCTTTTCATGGAGTATCGAGAGGTGACAGTACCTTCTTCTACGTACACAATCAGCTCAACAACTGGGGAGGACAGAGCAGACTGGCCACAACATCAGGGAGAAGATGAGTCTGTTGAAACTTTTTGTATATCTCATCTGAGACACCGAAGACAAGTTCATAAACTTGAGCTTAGTCCGTCTCCTGCGCGCATAAAAAACAGATCTTGACGGGAGGGACAAAATGTAACGTGTTTGTTCATACTATAGAGCCGAATTGTGTAAATTTTGTCATTTCTATAGATAAATTGAAGAGAAGCTATTTTGCAGTGTATTCTCTTTATTTTATCAACGCCAAAATAGAATGTACATTCAGACACAGCTGTTGGATGGTACTCACTTGAAATGCCATATTTTTTGGTCCAGCGAACCATATGGATTATATGAAGCAACTCTACTACCAACTGCTATAACATCTCCACCACCCTATATTTGTACCGGCCATGTGACCTCATCATGATGGACATCTGAAGAACTGATTGCGATGATTAAGTGTATTATATGATTGTCTAAAAATAATGTTTGTTAGTCAATAAACTTTCTCTCGGTTAGATATAAAATTGGAGGAGATATATGAATATACAGAAAATGAGAACTATACAGTCCCATTTTTTGAAATTTTCTAACTTGATATAATTTCCTTGAATTCTATTCAAAAAAGATTTTCCAATAATCCGAAAAAAAATTAGATATATAGGAAAGTTCTTTTGATATTTTCTTTGGATAAATAACGCTGGAAAAATGTTGAATGTGTTCATAATACTGATATTGATGCACTTTGTCAAGTTTTTAGAGTTAATGCTATAAAAATATAATATATAAATCATTGCATATTAAAAAATTTGTATTCTGCTGATATTTGGAATAATTCTGTTTCATTTTTAGTTCAATTTTTTTAAAAAAATCTGAAAATATATACTTTACCATAAACATTATTGAAATTAGTTTGCTAAAAAAATAAACCTAAAAAACATATTTCAGCTTGAAAGAAAAATCTAATATTTCCATTTTTACTTCAGAATATAACGCTGACATATAACCGCATCATAATAAATATGAACATATATTTAGCCTTCGTTTAGAAACTTATAGAATATCTACTTATGCATACCTGAAACAAGATGCTGCTAACCTTTACTCTTTTATCATGTAGGAGTATCTAATCATTTATGCGTGAAACTATATGCTACTAACTTTTAATCTTCTATCATGTATTTGATGCTTGTTATAATAAAACGACTTGACCAATACATCTCACTCAAGATATCTTATCAACAAGATGCAATAAAAATATATGATATTTGGAATGAATCATTATTTAAATACACTACCATCAATCCATATGATTTTTTATATCTAATGACTATCTCAACACTTAAATTAGCAAACATAATGATATCAATCAAAGCATTTAATCAGTAGATTTAAATTATTTGAATAGAGTTTAATAATCTTATTCAAAAAAAATTGGAAAATAAAATTTTATCAAATTTAATAAATTATATATTCAAATATATATATATATACATATACATACACACAAACAATATGAGTTTGACATTGCATAGTAGGTTGAAATGTTTCCTGATAAATATCATATAGATGTTTAGTGTATTCAATAGAATTGATCATTAATGCATAATGAAAATCAAAAAATCATCATGTATCAATTTATTATAATGCAATATAATCTTTATGTATAAATCTATTTCTTAACAAATATTAAAATTTAATATTGTGCCAACTTGCTTCAACCGTATTTGATTGTCACTAGTTTGATGTATATAGGTGTTTTGATGGTTGATAATATAAATATGGATTTAAGAATTAAATTATATACGTACAGACATATATTTTAAAATAATATAAATTTCATGTCTAACTCTTTTTTTCATATGCCATTCCATTTATTATATACATGTATGGCACTGAAGTATAAAAGTTATGTACTGGAATCATTGTAACATAAATATTGACTTTTTAGGAAATTTAATTTTTTTTCAGATAAGGATAGCGTGCAAATGAAGATGGTGAAATTCAGCTACTAAAATTTCAATTAAAGAATGAGAATTAAGAAGGAGAAGAATGAAGAAGGAAAATTAAGGTGCAAAAATATGTCTTTAAAAAATTATGATGGGATTGTGTTTAAGCATCACTCAATACCTATACAAAAAAATTACGTGCTAGATTGACTACGAGTCATGAAGTCATTGGGTTTGGATTTTGCAAGATTCTTGCTCGTGAATATTCTGAATCAATACATGTTGGTGACAGCTGGAAATATTCATGTCCTTGTGGTCTTTGAACAACCAATACTGGTACATGTATATCATCAACAACCAGTACTCCCTTTTCATGCAATATATAGATTTCACTAAATCATCGATGTCACTTCCTTTCGGCTTGGAGGACACGTGAAACTTGGCACACTTTGAAATGTACTCCGTGAAGTTGGTTGAAACGGTGAAAAATGTGTTCTTTTGCAGGTGGGGAATCGCGGAGCTCTCAAACATCTTATACAACATTAGCAGCCTCCTATTGACTTCATTTCCTTTGATATATGACGGCACCATCTTCCTCCTAAATCCACGCATGTCAAAAGGAAGTCAAAGTTCAATGCATTTGAGAAAACGGTTGTAGCCATAACCTTGACCATGGAGTGATGTGGACACTAATTATTGATTATCAACTGTCAAATGAAATATGCAATATCCACGTCTACAGGTCATTACTTCGTGTGAAGAAACCTGCAGGACGGACAGTCAGTCTCACGTAACTGACTGTCAGCCCATGTCTCCGATCGTGTTAGTAATCAACACGGAGTTGCCTCTTCCCTCGACAGCTAAACCGATTCAAAAGTTATGGTGATTTATGATCCTTTATCATGTGCAATGAGCTAATTCAGTTCTGTCGACCTGCAGGGTCGCTTCCACATGATCCGGATGTGTTCCAACGAGCTCACGAGTTCTCCGCAACATGTAGCATTAGTTCCTTCGATGGAGAAGATAAGATTTTGATCAGTTACAATGCCTGAGGATCTCCAGCGTTGCTTCCACCGATTCGTGATCCTGGATACCTTTACACTGGAGCTCTGCTATGTAGCTCATGTTCCCTTCACTTCGATGAGATGTTCTTCCCAGGTCAGTTGTTGAGGCATTACGCGGTCCCAGCGAACATGATGTATTGCATAAAAGCTGAGGTCTGTGTCAATTCATGGCGTCGCTGTCTTTTGCAAACCTGGGTTTAAATTTTCTCATATTCTTCTTCTACTAGATAGTCTTGCATCTCTGTGCTGGTTCAAAGAATGAAGGAGTGATATACAACGCCACCCTTCCTTCCTATCGTTCCACTTGCTCGTGAAGTAATCAAGTGCTGGCTCCACTCGACGAAGATGTGATTTAAGTTTCCAAATTCCTCCCTTGAACATCGATCCATTCCAACATTGAAGTGATCTCAACCGTTAGGTTCTAGTTTTATTTTAAATCTATGTTATATCTAACACTTGTCACTTGAATCATATTTCAATTGCTAAATCACCACGCTATCTGTATAAAATATGTACAAGTTTCATTGATTTTGATTATGAAGAATTTGGAATTTGCACAACTTTGAGATAAAAATTAATTTTTATTAGGATTTATTACATACTCAGAATTTAAATTAATTTTTATTATGAGTTATTACATACTCAGAAGTTTGTTTTTTTTTCATTAGTATATTTATTTCATACATTGAGGAAAAAACTGTATCTCCCAATTCAAACACTTTTTTATTGGCGATATTGCCAATGATGTCTATGAGCCCAAAATTATTTAGAGTATACCTTCCCTTGCTGGAATTCAGATGATACACATGATCTAACACCCAATAATTCTAGTCTAATTTTCCGTTATAAGACGAGTACTAAATTTTTTATTCTAAAGATTATATATGCACCGTACTATATCAATATACATGTGAAACTATCTCCTCTGAAAAGAAAATAATGTCATTGGAATCGGCATTTTCCTCATAACACTCGAAACGTTAGGCGAGAAGAAGTGAACCCACCCTCCAATGGTTCTGAGTATTTAACTCACTTCGAGTTGTAGAATCATAACTAATTAAGTTTCTCTCTGGAACAAAAGCTGGAATAGCTCAGTTGGTTAGAGCGTGTGGCTGTTAACCACAAGGTCGGAGGTTCGACCCCTCCTTCTAGCGGCTTTTGCTCATCAACGCGATTCTTCTTGCAGCTTTGCTCACTATCGCGATTCTTCTCGGACGGCTCCCAGGGAATTGCTGGTGGAACAGAGCGAAATCTTTTGATTTGAAACACTGACTTCGTATCTGTTTCGAGTTAGGTTTTCTTCCGGTTCGGTTTTCCCACCGGAAGAAATTAAGTGGTGGACGGTAGTACCTCAGATAGTCAGCGCTTCTGATTGCTATCCACAGATGGTGGACGCTCTTCTTCCGGCAGTACAGTGCGAGAGAGATGCATTGGAAAATATTAGAAACCCAAGCGAAACCCCTTGCACAGGAAGCAAGGGATTTCCCACCTAATTATTTAGAATAATAAAATTAATGAATCATTGTTTCTTTTAATCTTCTCTGTCCACGTTTCTAAGAGAGAAAACTCAAAAGCTTTAAAATACAATAGATTCTTAAACATTTATTTGTGTATATATATAGATATATATATATATATATCTTCACACAAAATATATATTAACTTTGTATTGTATTATGACACAAATCCAACCTACAAAAATCATATAACATACGAGATACATATTAATGACCTCTAAATTAGGATCTTCCCAAAGTGAAACCACAACTCGAAGTTCCACATTTATAACTATGGAAAAGCGCAAAGATATAACTATGTATAAGAATATCAAAAACGTAATGTTTATCACTGCTATAGACAATAAGATTTAACAAAGTATATGAAAAAGATTTAAACAACGAAAGTCAATGGGTTATTTATCACGGCCAGATGTGGTAGACTAATACAGGTTGCATTTCTTTCAATTTAAATGGTATGTATTCACAATAAAAAAATGCAATACAATATCTGATATTTTTTCCAATTACTCATTCCAAAAAATTACAAAAAGTAATGTAGATTAGTGTACAAATTGTTCCAAAAAATCAGCTAAATTTCAATAAAATTTTGTTGCAAATTTTCAAAATTTTAATAAATAACATAAATCCTTTAAAATTTTGAAAATATAATCTATTGCTAAAACCTAAATAAGAAAATAGAAAAATTCACAACATAACACCTACAATTTGACATTAGAATTTGAAATCTCTTGTAAGATAGACACAAATTATTTTTTAGTAAAAAGAATAATCTTTGATCAAATACCATATAAATCTTAGATTGTAAACTAGGAAATTTTCCAAAATTATTAAGTAAATAAATATATGAATTTATTGTAAAATTATTAGAATTTTCATTAAAACACATACTAAAAAATTCGAGATGAATAAAAAATAAAAAATTTATATAATAAAAATAAATATAATAACCTTTTTTGCAAAATATTTACAACAAAAATTTATCTTCTGAAATAAATTAATTAATTTATATATATATATATATCTTCTGATATATATATATATATCATATATATATAATAAATTATATATATATATATATATATATATATATATCATTTTGCTCTTCAACATAAGTTTTAACATGTCATATATCTTATTAGATATAAATATTTTTTTCATCTTTATTACATTTCAAAGACATCATGTTTTATTGTATGATGAAATTTTCTACTTTGTAACATCAAATGTAATATTTTGTGTCAAATATATGTATCAATATATCGCATTTGATTATGAATTTTAAATGAAGAAATTATCTGAATTTTTCAAGATATTCGCATATCATTTGAATTTTCTATTACATAAAAGACATAGATAATTAAAAAAGGTTTGCTATTTTTTTCTTGAAATATTTTTAATTACATAGGAAGACTAGAAATACATCAGAATCTATCTATGTTACACATGATCAAAACTAAAATTTTGTTATAAAACTAAATATAAAATTTAGAAATTTGTTCTTCATTTTTTGTATTTTTATACATTTTTTCATGTTCATATATATATATATATACGTGTAATCAATTCAAGGTGTTAAAAAATGTAGATTTTTTTTTCTTAGATTATTCTTGTATATTATATATTATATGTGTTAATTTCTTGTAAGTGAAACATGATAATTTTCTAATGAAAATTTAAAATATTTATTCAAATCCAAACAAATGTATAAAATTGTGAGATATATAATGTTATTAAAATTTTAAATATAATCAGGTATCTTAAGAAATTCTAAATTTGGAATCTTTGTAACAAGAGGTGGACGTTTCAAAAATGTTGATCAGATTATTTATAATTATCACTTGTATTTTATTGAAAAAATGATTCATGTCTAAATTATTTTCGTTTTATAATTTCAAAATAGACCTCTTAACATTCACGATGTTCTTCTTGTTTCTTTCACGGATATTCGCCGCCTTGATAGTGTTTTTCTTAGCGTTGAAGCATGTATCAATGAGATGATATCAAGAGAAGTTAATTGAGTTGTGAGTATGCGCAGATGCAACCTAGTTTAGTTTCCTGCCCCGCTGCAAAAGCTGTGCATTGCCAATGCATTCTTGCAACACAGCTCAACGGTAACTGTTTCGTGTATTTATTGTTTAGTGTATATTGGTTTCTCATGGTAAATTATTTTTTTTAGATAAAGATTTTTTTTCAAATTCTTGATTATTTCCTAATAAATGACGTTTTGAATTTATAATCTACGTATCATAAAAAGACATACATTTGAATCACAAAATTTGTATATCACAAAATTTAAATAATTTGTTAAAATTTTATAACATGATTATAAACAAAATTACATCTCAAGCTATTGCTTATTCAAATATGATTCATGATTAATTTTTTGTTTTTTTTTTTATTTTTTGGAAAAATATTTATGAATTTATAAAAAATTAAAGTGCATATTGCATTCAATATACAAATATTTTTTCATCTTTTAAAGAAAGTTTTTTGAATTGATTTTTTTGTGTATGACACTTATTTTTAATGCTTTTGTAATGAACACAATGTGGAGAAAATTATTGCTGAAATTCTATGAATGACACAGAGAATTTTACAGAAGCAGCCTATGAATGTCCATTTCAACGTTCCCGGGACCCAGGAACGTAATGGACAACGTTGTGGGACAGAATGCTTTTTCAAACCACTGATTTCTAAATCATCATAGTAGATGAGGTCAAATTTTTTTTTTTTTTCTGACATTTATTTTAGAAAATAAAAGCAAGAAATCGTTACAAAATTTTATATCATACACATATGATCTTATATAAATGATTAATACATCTAAAAATTAAGTTGACAATGACAAAAAAATATTTAAGAGGCTAACAACAGTCATATAAAATTAAAAATTTAATTATAAAAAATTTCTATAAAATGTTATCAAAGCTTTGTACTTGAAATTTTTACATCTTGCTTGTGACTGCAAATTTTTTTGTCTTTTAAGCATTTTTTTAAACGATAATTACCACAACCATTATGCAATAACCAACAACCACAACCAGTGGAATTGACAATTACAACCCCATAGGACAAGGTGGTGGGAGCGCCGGTTATGAATGAGGACCAACTTCTTAGTGCATGCTATGATTTTGGAGAGTTTAGCAGTTGACCACCACAATGTTCATAATCCAACAAGCGGACGATTTACCAACAATTTGCAGTAAGTGCAGGCGGCCATACCAAAGAAATTTTGAATGGGATTAACCCTCCCAATTAACTTCTCTAGCAGAACAATATCCCCTCATAGGAGGCCAGCTTCCCAACGTACCTGAGGAGGGATGTGCGTGTATGAAATGACCTTAAAAGATCGTAATAAGGAGCAAGCCAGTGACGGGTACCATTAGGTGGTGGGAGTTTTTGAGATCCTACTGAAAGTCATTAAACAGCCCGTCCGCCAGCTCTAACAATCAAATCACTTTCTAATAACACTTTCGATCGAGATGGAGAAAATAATTCCACTGACTGTAAATGCTATATCTACAGCAGAAGACGTGAGACTATCTAACCAAGTTTAAATTCACACAGGTTGTGACACATGAAATTTACGTACATCTAAACTAAAACAATAATAACCTTCAGTTTCTCTTCATGCATTCCAACATGTCTGTGATCTATTATGTATGTTACATTTTTAAAAACATCGTATGAAATGATATTGTGAGTTAATTTCATGTATTTACAGACTCAACTTGGAATTGAACTTGATTTTTATGCTAAAAGCCTCTTCCCAAAAAATTTCAAATCTTGATTAACAAAGTGCTTCCAATTTTCATCCTTAAATATTTGCCATAGTAGAGAAAAAATAAATTCTTCTCCAATCATTCACTGAAGAAATTAATTCCATCTTAACCTCATGAATCGAATAATTTCTTCACATCTCATGTATGACTTACTCGCGATGTGAAGTCAATTTTTTTCTAAGTAGCTTCAACTTTAGTTGAAGCTATATGGTGATTTTATTATGCAGATATGTTACTGAGGTATTTCTTAAACCGTGCATATGTCATGTTCATTTTTATGCAACCTTAAGTCACCTACAAATACTAAATTCTTATTTCCACTTTACATAGAAATGAAACATGAATTTTATCTGTATATCCAATCATTCCTTTTGATTTATATACTTTAATAAATAGTTCTTTCATTATATTCAAAATTTATTGACAGAATAACATAAGAGTATCAATTATACTATTAAATATTTGATGATAGACCGATAATATATGCATTGCAGAGCCTAACGTTGTTCTTTAAGTAAAAGTTGGTCAGAACCCAAAGAGCCCAACTTCATATAATACAATTTGGAATTCTAAATCTCACAGTCAGAATGTTCAGTGTTTCACCCTGCCTATTGATAAGTAGACTCTAACCTTACATTACCTCCCACATTATGGGATTTGGTCAAGCGAATGTGATCTAATACAGCGTTGTAGGCAGTTACTTTCACTAAGGGGATAGCTTTGATGCATTCCGACTTGTAATAATGCCAGTCAGAAGAAAAAATATACAGTTTATTTACCCCTGGACTTGATGGAAGTTACAATCGATTGTAAGTAAAAAATCAGGTGACTAAAAGTTGTAAACGTATATGACAATGGTGATCTGCAGAAAAACTAGCTCAGTATCTGGTATACAAGGAATTTGAATTTATCGAAATGAGTAGCTTAATACTTTCAACAATTAAGGAAATATTGTGAGACTTGAACGAACCAGGTAAGAATCCAGCGTCACACAAGACAAGCATAGACAGAAAATGAGCCTGGGATTGGTGATGGAATTTGAGTTAGAAGCATTCAGACTGGTGTTCCACAGTTCCATTCGGCACTATAGATGGTACGACTCGAGATCGAATCATGATGATCCCACATTCTCCAGCTGCGTCTGCCACCAACCCGTCCCCATTCCTTTATACCGTATGATTGTTCGCAGTTGGAGTTGATCACCAGTCCCCTGGGGAGTCCGCGAACATCAGATAAAGACTACAGCACTAAACGTGTATCAACTAATGCAGATGCTATCTGACTGTCAGTGCATTCATTGAATAAACCCGGGTGCTTTCGTGATCTTGCCGCGGGCCTGCTCTTGCAATAAGTTATCTTGTCCTCGTAGTGCAAAATTGCCTCCGATGTGGGTCATGGATCTAGTCACCTGCAGTGTGTTCTCTCTGCGAGTGCAGATTGACTGGACCCCGAAGTACGTGTGGCGGGATGCTGTTACAGCCCTTCCCGTAAGAAAGGTAAGCGAGTTTCTCACGAGGTGAAAATTCATTACATTGCTCGATTTTTTGATTCTCGTGCTCCAAGTTAGTTTCTACACTCTGGCCCCTTCTCCTCTGTTCGCTCCCACCGTCAGCATTTCACATTAAGCGTCCGGTCCCAACATACATTACAAAAATCAGATACCGAGCCGCCTGATGAGAGCCTCCCATCGATGAGAATCTTACTAAGAGTTCATGTTCACAGTGCTTGAAGTCGATCACCAAGGTCAGGAATGCTCCTGCGTGGACTGAGGAATACAACCCCTCTCCGGCTTGAACTTGGATCATAGATCGTCTAGAGAGGAACTTTAAAAGTCCGAACTTCCAGTTTCTTAGGTGTTCTCAAGGAAGCTATCAGATCACGATCCAAAAACGCGACTGTATTGTGAACAGGTTGCGCAAGTGAGATTGAGCTAATGGAAGGAAAATGGTGGAGCATTGTACCAACATTGGTTGTCCTGCTTGCTCTCCAAGGTGGGAGAGCAAAGGCTCAGTTCTTTGTTGGCTTTTACGATACGAAGTGTCCCCGAGCTGAAAGCCTCATCAGTCTGACGGTCCAGCAGGCTGTGGCAAGGGACCCGACCTTGGCCGCGTCTATTTTACGAATGCTGTTTCACGACTGCTGGGTGCAGGTAATCATTCTCTTTCTACCTTCTGGCACGATGCACAACGTCAAATGCTTTATATTTTCTCTGCAGGAAACTGAAGGACCATCTATTCAGAATGAAAGTCTCTCATTTGCGAGAGGAATCTGTTGCATCATCATCTTCTTCTCTGGAATGGTTGGAGGAATGATTCATATAACCCTGGCAGGGAAATGAGCTAAGCTTGACAAATGGCAGGGCTGTGACGCGTCCGTTCTGTTGGACACAGCGCCTGGTTTCGGACAGGCCGAGAAGGATGCCCCACCCAATCAATCTCTGAGGGGTTTCGAGGTATTCGATGCTGCTAAGGCAGCTGTGGAGTCGGTGTGCCCGGGAGTCGTCTCTTGCGCCGACATCATCGCTCTTGCCGCTCGAGACGCCACCGTCGCTGTGAGCAGTGTAGCTGTGCAGCTGTGCTTTCTTTCATGACTTTATTCCGTTTCCGGTTGTCGTAGGATTCATGTCTCTTCCTCTTTCAAGCTGTAAAAGCTTCTGACTCCATATTATTGTTTCGAAGGTTGGCGGACCCACTTGGCAAGTACCAACAGGTCGAAGAGATGGCACGATTTCTCAGCTTTTGGATGCAGGCATTAACATCCCCTCTGCCGCGTTCAGCTATCAACTTCTTCGCCAGAATTTCAATCTGCATGGTTTCTCTGAAGACGAGATGGTCACTCTCTCTGGTGAGGACGATCGTTTCATGTCACAGGCATCTCTTGTTCGGTCATTTATGCACTTGTCTGAATCGATAGTTGACATCCCTCGAAACTTGGTTTGGGAAATGAACTTCGCAGGTGCCCATACGATTGGACGAGCGCATTGCTCAGCGTTCAGCAGCAGACTGTACCCGACCGTCGATCCGACTTTGGACCCGGCGTACGCCGCACAATTACAGGCAGCGTGTCCTCCGAACGCGAATCCCAACATTCGCGTGCCACTCGATCTGAGCACCCCAGACGCATTTGACAATAATTACTATACTAATCTTCCTATCGGTAGAAGTCTCATGCCTTCTGATGCTGCCCTCTTGAACGACGGATTCAGCACTCGCGTGAGTGAACAAAACTCGCAGAACAGTCAGTTTTGGACTGTGAAGTTCGCTAATGCCATGTTCCGAATGAGCCAACTGAATATGAAATTAGGCTTGCAGGGCGAAATTCGCCAAAACTGCCGCTTCCGAGGGTAAGTGATGTTGCGACATCCTCGAGCTGCACCACATGTCATGTCCAGACTCTTGTACGTCTGAAATTGCGCCTCATTCCTCTTTCGTTCTGAAACACGACAGTGAAGGGATCGAAGCATAATTTTTCCGCGTCGACCCCAAGTGATGGGTAGTACTTCGTGACCAATTCACGTGTGTTGTATGTGTTTAACTTTCTTCTTTGGAGATTATGCTTCACAGCTTCACGTGTGTCGTGTTACGATCGCCTGGAGAACCTGGACCTGAGAATTTTATTCCAGCCAGCACCTATCGTAGATAATTTCGATTGAGCTTTGGATTTGCATTCAAAGCTCAGTCGAGTAAATCTGCTCCAGTGTCTTCGACTTCCTCCCCAACCTAGCGTATAGTCTGAATGAGTCGCTCCATGACTGGATGCAGAGTGTAATTTAGATGTGTCAAGGGCACAGAGATCGAAAAGCTGTACCAAATGTGACTGAAATGGGGTTTCACTCCGGTTGCTTCAGAAGCGGATTGATGAAGGTGAGCAGGAGTAGAGTTGCTGAACCGCTGTAGTGTGCAGAGAAGTATCGGTTGGCAGACGGGAGGAAACCTGAGAGAAAGAAGTCCCTTATAAGAAGGATGTCAATGTCAGCAAATACATTTGTTCTTACAGTACACGTATCAATTTCATATCACTCCATTACATGGGCTGCCGCTATTAGTTCTTCACCGAGTCTGCATTGGTTTCTGGGCATAGGTGGGCCCGACTTCAGTCATTTAAGTATGCTTTTAAGGACGATGTTATTAATATGGTCGATGGTGGTTGAAGTGAATGAACCTAGAGCTTCACAACTTAGGAGGAAGATGGTGTTGGAGATTGATAATGCCGTGACGATTGATCGAGGCCAAGGAGTCGTCAAACAGCGATTGAATGGAGCGTATGAAGGTGACTTCCAGTCCTATCGTCGTGGGAAGAAGTTGGTTAGCTCTTTTCTCGCACCCGAGTTCTGTTTGCAAGACTTCAACAAATTGCCGTTCTTATTCGTATAACTTCACTGCAAACTTCATACATCGAAGTGAGACCAATTACAGCACCCATCATAGAACAATGAATCTTCTACTTGAAGCAACTGTGTTCCTCTCAAACTACCTGTGCATGACGAAGGTGAACGATGATTACTATGGATATTTATTAAAACTGCGCCGTGTGAGAGTATAGTAAATCTTGTATGGCGGGTCGAATTGATGTGATGCGTAGTTGCCATTGTGAGAATTTATCGTATAGATCTGACTCGATGAGGAATGTTTACGAGGAATATTTGCGTCATGAGATGAACAAGGAGAAAATACTTCTTGTACAATACCGGTTTGACATAACAAATAACAAAGCATAACAAAGGTAAAGAATTACCTTTGTTTTGCTTTTTTTGAGGTATTGTCTTACAATAATTATATAACTGAAGGAGGTTATTGTACTTTCAACATGCAGTGAGGGAAGTTTTGTTAGGTAATTGTTCATGCTGTGTGTCGGTGACCTGTTAGAATTAAATAAGTCGGTCGTATGACCATCAGTGATGATTACTTAGGCCGACGAGTCTTCTCGCCGCCTTGAACATTATCCGTTAATTTTTAGTAATTCGATGAACGTAGCTTACATGCGAACTAAGTTATTTTTGAGTCAAATGCGTGAATGTGTGTTGTGTGAGTTCTCATGTTTTTCTTGAACATTTTCTTTCTTAATAAATGACACTTATGGACATAATCCAAGTGGGGTGTATTAGCAATATCAATTCTTATGTATGGCTATAAACGACAAATCAAATCATTCCAAGATTTTTTGTTATCTCAAAATAAAAATCATCCATTGGATAAATCTCTTATCACCCACAATAAGTAATTAAATTGGCATTAAAATGTATCATAATACAAGTTGTTCAACAAAATTCAAAGTTCAAACACCACAGTCGTACATAAGAGTTAAAACTCCAAAGAAATGTTACACTTGACTTGAGTTACGTACACAAGGTACCAAAGTTTTTCATTTCAAAATCTAAGTTGTGTCTTTGAGCTTGAAAAAGAGTTTTTTTTACACATAGTATCACATTCAGTAATCGAAGTGACTAAGAATAAATTAATAGAATTAACTTGTTAGTTGACTCATACATGATTCACATTGCCAATAAAAAGTCTATGTTATAATTCAAACTTCATGAATTCTATATAATAACATTATGGAATTTTAATTCGATTTGTATAAATATAAGCACTAAGTGTAATGTTTGCAAATGATACAAGTTGATATGATAGGATTTCACATTTGTCTTGTAGACATCACCGAAAATCAATTGAAATTTCTACTTTCATACATGTTTCAAATCTAAAATATAAAATGATACACAGAATGTTTCAAATTTTTTATTACTTATTTAAATATTGTGCTTTTTGAAACTATAAAAGAACAAAAAAATATGGATCTAGTGAAAATTCATATTATTGATTTTGTTTTAATATTATTTTGATAAAATAATATAAATGAATTAAAAAATTTATCAAAAATTTGCAATCAATTATTCACAGAAAAAATGTTATTTAAAACAAACCGGTTATGAAATATATACAATGAAAAAATCCAAATCACTAAAGGTGAAAAAAATATTTTTTTAAAATAACTAACATTTTATATTTGATAAAACATATTTGATGATACATTTTATTAAAAATCAAATTGAAACAGTAAAATTTCAAATATAATTATCAATACAACTATTTTTATTGCTGATTTTGAATAACTTATATTTGAAACAAAATTTTAGAGGAAAACAATGATTATTTATTTTTCACATGATTCTTTTAATATTTTGAAATCAAGATTGAATCAATATGACATTAAGTAACATGAGTATTACACAAAAAATTCATACTAAAGTATTACATTTTAGAAACATCTAACTGCAAAAAAATTAAAATTTTCAAAGTTATTTCATTATAATTACAAACAGATATTGAAATTTTTTCTTCATTTTTCAAATTCATTGAAAAAATAGCAAGTTATATTTACAATTATGACAAAATTTGAATTTAAATATTTTTAATTTTTTTAAAAAATACATTATAAATTCAGTAGAATAATCAAATAATTAAATAATTATTCACATTATTTTACTATAGAAATTTTTTTTAAATGAATAATTTGATAAAAAATTTGTGATTTTTTTATATTTTGAATTTAAAAACAGGTAATAAATCTAGACAAATTCCATTAAATTTTATTTAAAATTGTTCAAATTTATAAATGTATGCAACCTGAAAATATAGGATTATATTACTAAGAAAAAAAGATATTTTACATAATATTTGAATCATTTAAATTATTGAATCTTATTTTATTATATTGGCAATTAAACAAACCATTTGTATTGATTTATATATACATTTCATCAAAAATTAGAATCCACATCATAATTTGCAATCATTAGTTAGAAAATTACATATATACTTCATTGCATAACATGATATATTTAATTCTTTCACAATAAGCTTTGGAAATTTAATTGTCTGAAAAAATTTTTAATAGATTCAATATGAATGTAATCCTATAAATGATAAGTATAAGTTTTACAACTTCATTCATTGTTTACTCATTAATAAAATATAACGAATCATAAATCTGTTCACAGTTATATTTCTATCAATGTTTGTAATATCCTTATGGTATTTAATGTTTATTATGTCTTATAATTTTATATTTTTAACTCAAGATTAGATTAATCAATTCATAATTTCAATCTTCAATATTTTTTCTAATAAAGAATGCTAAATTTTAACAAATATGTTTTTTTAAATTGAACTCATGACATGAAGTAAACATCAATTTACTTTTAAAAAATCATTATGCATATCATTGATTTGGAACCCATTGAAATATGAATGGTAGTTTGTTTTTATGCATTATAACAATACCGATTTAACATGTGAGATATTGAGTCATTGTTAGTCAAAGTAGACCAATTTTTTGAAAAATTGTAATTATCTTTGGACGAGGAAATTGTTGTTAAATCTAGTTTGATCTAAATCTGATATGTTTCATAGATCCAACATCATGCACATGAAATCATAGAGGCTATAAAGCACAAAAACTTCAAAAAATAAAGTTGAAAAATTCAAAAAAGTTACAATAATTTGCACATCTTGCAAAAGCATTTTGCTAACAGTTATATTGAAGATTGATTTGTCTACATAAAAACAATTGAGCTTACAAGCTTATTGTGAAGCCAATAGGAAATAATAAACCATTGAAGAGATTGCATGAAAAAAAAAGTTGCATTTTTAGGTTGAAGATGAAATTACACGTGCTGAAAACTATGAGAAATAAAAAACTAAAAAATAAAATATGATTAAAAGTCAAGGACATACAAGCAAATTTTTTAGATTAAAATAATCACATTGATAATAATACTACAGAATTAACAAAATAATGTCTTTGAAATATATATCATTAATCTCATTAAATGTTTTAATTCTTGAATGAAAAAAATATAAATTAGAACAAACTTGTATGATTTAAACTCTCTTGTAAAAAAATCATGAATACTTTGAATCATACTCACACTTACCACAACTTTGTCAACCACACCAAGTGGTTTTACCTTCTGTTTGTTGGCCATACCAACAATTATACTTGAAGGTCTGGAAAGTCGCATCCCCAACTTCATCAACAATCTTTCAGACATTGCATTTACATCAGAACCACCATCTACTAGCACGTCTGAAACATCATGCACATCGATCCTCACTTCGATCTTTGAGGCATGTGTACATACCTCCGAGGCAGCAACATCCACCACACCAACTCCCACATTAGTCATGTGAGCCTTTCCTTTGGATCTTCGCTTCTTGATCCTTGTGGAGCTAAGACCTACTCTCAACTCCTTCCGTATGGCTGGATTTAAAGCAATGAGTTGGCCAACTGTGATATTGGCCTTCTGACTTCCTACATCTTCCACCACGTCATACTTAGCTTGAGAAGATGAAATGGAAAAGTCATTCATGCTCAACTTCTTTCTTGGTACTCTTGGTTGACTTACTCCACTTGATCGTGTACTCCGACTTGGCATGTCCTCCATGGAAATTGACTCATCTCCAAATCGAGCACGTTTCTTCTCATGTGCAAGAATATCCACCTTCGACTTTGAGCTCTCTCCTTTCTCAAAGGTGCATTGATGAGGAAATACATCAATGGATGCTACTCCCTTATCCTTGGCTTGTTGTGTGGCCGGTGCATTGTTGTTGTGCCGAACTCCATCATGTTGTCGAGGGTTAGGACAATTTCGCTGAAAATGAGGACCGCCACAAGTAAAACAAGAAACTGCAAAGTTTCATGGAGGTGAATTTCTGTAACACTAGGGTTTAGAGAGAAGTTCATTCGAAGATAGAAACGTAAACTCTGAAGATGAGAGATACCAACAATGGTTCTCCTCTCCCTTATATAGCTCTCACCAACAAGTACAAGGTGATAAGATCTAATCCCCACCATCCATCCCACTCCTAGTGGATGGATGACGTGGCGGATAACCCTAACAAGCACACGGATTGCTGACGTGGCGCACCCAACTAACACACTAACTAACACACTCAATCCTTACCTACAAGCACACGGATTGCTGACGTGGCACTGTCAACTAACACATCCACTCTGTACCTACCAAGTGCGCGGATCGCTGATGTGGCAGCTATGACTAGTGCACACTAAAGTATCTACATATATATTCAGAGTAACCTCTACTTTAGTTCTAACTAACTAAAGATGGTTACAAACCTCCCTCCTTTTAAGATGCAACGTCCTCGTTGCACATACGTTCAAACTCCTGAACTATCAAAGGTGCATTTGCTAAATTTTTAGCTGGTTCCCAAGTTGATTCATACGATGGATAGCCTTTCCATTGAATCAAATACTCTACTTTGGGATATTTATGACCTCGAATTTGTTTCTTGAGTATCTTTTCTACCTCAAACTCCTCATGATCTGCTATCAAGGTTGGAAGAGGAGGTGGTGCTGGTTGGTTGGTGAATTGTTTTGGTCGTGGTACATGTTTTCGCAATCGTGACACATGAAATACTGGATGTATTTTCATATGTGACGGAAGTTCCAACTTGTATGACACTTCACCAACACGCTTCAAAACCAAAAATGGACCAATGAACCTAGGGTTTAACTTTGGTGTTCCTACAAGAGACAAATTCATTGTAGATAACCAAACATGATCTCCAACCTCAAAAATCACTTCTCTACGATGAGCATCGGCATGCTGCTTTTGCCGATTTTGAGCTATCACCAACTTCTCCTTGGCCTGATGTAGTCCTCGGTGAATATGCTCCACGAATT